TGGGTTGAACCCACGGTGGGTTGAACACACGGTGGGTTGAACACACGGTGCATTGAACACACGGTGGGTTAAATACAAGGTGGGTTGAACACACGGTGGTTTGATCACATGGTGGGTGGAACACACGGTGGGTTGAACACACGGTGGGTTGAACACACGGTGGGTTGAACACACGATAGGTTGAACACACGGTGGGTTGATCACACGGTGGGTTGAACACACGGTGCATTGAACATTCGGTGGGTGCAACACAGGGTGGGTTGAACACACGGTGGGTTGATTACATGGTGGGTGGAACACACGGTGGGTTGAACACACGATAGGTTGAACACACGGTGGGTTGATCACACGGTGGGTTCAACACACGGTGCATTGAACATTCGGTGGGTGCAACACACGGTGGGTTCAAAACACGGTGGGTTCAACACACGGTGGGTTCAACACACGATGCGTTGAACACACGGTGGGTGGAACACTCGGTGGGTTGAATACACGGTGGGTTGAACACACGATAAGTTGAACACACGGTTGGTTGTACAAACGGTGGGTTCAACACACGGTGGGTTGAACACACGGTGGGTTCAACACGGGGTGGGTGGAACACACGGTGGGTTGAACACATGGTGGGTTGAACATACGGTGGGTTGATCACACGGTGGGTGGAACACACGGTGGGTTGAACACACGGTGGGTTGAACACACGATAGGTTGAGCACACGGTGGGTTGAACACACGGTGCGTTGAACACACGATGGGTGGAACACACGGTGGGTTGAACACATGGTGGGTTAAACACACGGTGGGTTGATCACACCGTGGGTGGAACACACGGTGGGTTGAACACACGGTGGGTTGAACACACGATAGGTTGAACACACGGTGGGTTGATCACACGGTGGGTTGAACACACGGTGCATTGAACATTCGGTGGGTGCAACACACAGTGGGTTGAACACACGGTGGGTTGATCACATGGTGGGTGGAACACACGGTGGGTTGAACACACGGTGGGTTGAACACACGATAGGTTGAACACACGGTGGGTTGATCACACGGTGGGTTGAACACACGGTGCATTGAACATTCGGTAGGTGCAACACACGGTGGGTGGAACACACTGTGGGTTGCACACACGGTGGGTTGAACACACGATAGGTTGAACACACGATGGGTTGATCACACGGTGGGTTGAACACACGGTGCATTGAACATTCGGTGGGTGCAACACACGGTGGGTTGAACATACGGTGGGTTGATCACATGGTGGGTGGAACACACGGTGGGTTGAACACACGGTGGGTTGAACACACGATAGTTTAAACACACGGTGGGTTGATCACACGGTGGGTTGAACACTCGGTGCATTGAACATTCGGTGGGTTGAACACACGGTGGGTTGAACACACGGTGGGTTCAAAACACGGTGGGTTCAACACACGGTGGGTTCAACACACTATGCGTTGAACACACGGTGGGTGGAACACTCGGTGGGTTGAATACACGGTGGGTTGAACACACGATAAGTTGAACACACGGTTGGTTGTACACACGGTGGGTTCAACACACGGTGGGTTGAACACACGGTGGGTTGATCACACGGTGGGTTGAACACACGGTGGGTTGAACACACGGTGGGTTGAACACACGGTGGGTTGAACACACGGTGGGTTGAACACACGGTGGGTTGAACACACGATAGGTTGAACACACGGTGGGTTGATCACACGGTGGGTTGAACACACGGTGCATTGAACATTCGGTGGGTGCAACACAGGGTGGGTTGAACACACGGTGGGTTGATTACATGGTGGGTGGAACACACGGTGAGTTGAACACACGATAGGTTGAACACACGGTGGGTTGATCACACGGTGGGTTCAACACACGGTGCATTGAACATTCGGTGGGTGCAACACACGGTGGGTTCAAAACACGGTGGGTTCAACACACGGTGGGTTCAACACACGATGCGTTGAACACACGGTGGGTGGAACACTCGGTGGGTTGAATACACGGTGGGTTGAACACACGATAAGTTGAACACACGGTTGGTTGTACAAACGGTGGGTTCAACACACGGTGGGTTGAACACACGGTGGGTTCAACACGGGGTGGGTGGAACACACGGTGGGTTGAACACATGGTGGGTTGAACATACGGTGGGTTGATCACACGGTGGGTGGAACACACGGTGGGTTGAACACACGGTGGGTTGAACACACGATAGGTTGAGCACACGGTGGGTTGAACACACGGTGCGTTGAACACACGATGGGTGGAACACACGGTGGGTTGAACACATGGTGGGTTAAACACACGGTGGGTTGATCACACCGTGGGTGGAACACACGGTGGGTTGAACACACGGTGGGTTGAACACACGATAGGTTGAACACACGGTGGGTTGATCACACGGTGGGTTGAACACACGGTGCATTGAACATTCGGTGGGTGCAACACACAGTGGGTTGAACACACGGTGGGTTGATCACATGGTGGGTGGAACACACGGTGGGTTGAACACACGGTGGGTTGAACACACGATAGGTTGAACACACGGTGGGTTGATCACACGGTGGGTTCAACACACGGTGCATTGAACATTCGGTAGGTGCAACACACGGTGGGTGGAACACACTGTGGGTTGCACACACGGTGGGTTGAACACACGATAGGTTGAACACACGGTGGGTTGATCACACGGTGGGTTGAACACACGGTGCATTGAACATTCGGTGGGTGCAACACACGGTGGGTTGAACATACGGTGGGTTGATCACATGGTGGGTGGAACACACGGTGGGTTGAACACACGGTGGGTTGAACACACGATAGTTTAAACACACGGTGGGTTGATCACACGGTGGGTTGAACACTCGGTGCATTGAACATTCGGTGGGTTGAACACACGGTGGGTTGAACACACGGTGGGTTCAAAACACGGTGGGTTCAACACACGGTGGGTTCAACACACTATGCGTTGAACACACGGTGGGTGGAACACTCGGTGGGTTGAATACACGGTGGGTTGAACACACGATAAGTTGAACACACGGTTGGTTGTACACACGGTGGGTTCAACACACGGTGGGTTGAACACACGGTGGGTTCAACACACGGTTGGTGGAACACACGGTGGGTTGAACACATGCTGGGTTGAACATACGGTGGGTTGATCACACGGTGGGTGGAACACACGGTGGGTTGAACAGACGGTGGGTTGAACACACGATTGGTTGAGCACACGGTCGGTTGAACACACGGTGCGTTGAACACACGATGGGTGGAACACACGGTGGGTTGAACACATGATGGGTTAAACACACGGTGGGTTGATCACACCGTGGGTGGAACACACGGTGGGTTGAACACACGGTGGGTTGATCACACGGTGGATTGAATACACGATGGGTGGAACACACGGTGGGTTGAACACATGGTGGGTTGAACATACGGTGGGTTGATCACACGGTGGGTTGATCACACGGTGGGTTTATCACATGGTGGGTTGATCTCACGGTGGGTTGAACACACGGTGGGTTGAACACATGGTGCGTTGAACACACGGTGGGTTGAGCACACGGTGGGTTGAACACACGATAGGTTGAACACACGGTGGGTTGAACACAAGCGGGCGAATGGGGCGGGATGATGGGAAGCGGGAGAATGGGGCGGGGTGATGGAAAGCGGGAGAATGGGGCAGGGTGATGGAAAGCGGGAGAATGGGGCGGGGAGATGGAAAGCGGGAGAATGGGGCGGGCTGATAGAAAGTAGGAGAATGGGGCGGGGTGATGTAAGAAGGGAGAATGGGGCGGGGTGATGGAAGGAGGGAGAAGGGGGCGGGGTGATGGAAAGCGGGAGAATGGGGTGGGGTGATGGAAAGTGAGAGAATGGGGCAGGGTGATGGAAAGCGGGAGAATGGGGAGGGCTGATGGAAAGCGGGAGAATGGGGCGGCGTGATCAAAGGAGGGAGAATGGGGCGGGGTGATGGAAAGCGGAAGAATGGGGCGGGGTGATGGAAGGAGGGAGAATGGGGCGGGGTGATGGAAAGTGGGAGAACGTGGCGGGTTGATGGGAAGCGGGAGAATGGGGCAGGGTTATGGAAACCGGGAGAATGGGGCGGGGTGGCGGAAAGCGGGAGAATGGGGCAGGGTGATGGAAGGAGGGAGAATGGGGCGGGGTGATGGAAAGCGGGAGAATGGGGCGTGGTGATGGAAAGCGGGAGAATGGGGCGGGGTGATGGAAAGCGGGAGAATTGGGCGGGGTGATGGAAAGCGGGAGAATGGGGCGGGGTGATGGAAGGAGGTAGAATGAGGCGGGGTGATGGAAGGAGAAGAATGGGGCGGGGTGATGGAAAGCGGGAGAATGGGGCGGGGTGATGGAAAGCGGGAGAATGGGGCGGAGTGATAGAAAGCGGGAGAATGGGGCGGGAGAATGGGGCGGGGTGATGGGAGAATGGGGCGGGGTGATGGAAAGCGGGAGAATGGGGCGGGGTGATGAAAAGCGGGAGAATGGGGCGGGGTGATGGAAAGTGGGAGCATGGGGCGGGGTGATGGAATGAGGTAGAATGAGGCGGGGTGATGGAAGGAGGGAGAATGGGGCGGGGTGATGGAAAGTGGGAGAATGGGGTGGGGTGATGGAAAGCGGGAGAATGGGGCGGGGTGATGGAAAGCGGGAGAATGGGGCGGGGAGATGGAAAGCGGGAGAAAGGGGCGGGGTGATGGAAAGCGGGAGAATGGGGCGGGCTGATAGAAATTGGGAGGATGGGGCGGTGTGATGGAAGGAGGGAGAATGGGGCGGGGTGATGGAAGGAGGGAGAAGGGGGCGGGGTGATGGAAAGCGGGAGAATGGGGTGGGGTGATGAAAAGCGGGAGAATGGGGCGGGGTGATGAAAAGCGGGAGAATGGGGCGGGGTGATGGAAAGCGGGAGAATGGGGAGGGCTGATGGAAAGCGGGAGAATGGGGCGGGGTGATGGAAGGAGGGAGAATGGTGCGGGGTGATGGAAGGAGGGAGAATGCCCCATCACCCCGCCCCATCACCCCGCCCCATTCTCCCGCTTTCCATCACCCCGCCCCATTCTCCCTCTTTCCATCACCCTGCCGCATTCTCCCTCTTTCCATCACCCCACTCTATTCTCCCTCTTTCCATCATCCCGCTCCACTCTCCCGCTTTCCATCACCCCACCCCTTTCTCCCGCGTTCCATCACCCCGCCCCATTCTCCCGCTTTCCATCACCCCGCCCCATTCTCCCGCTTTCCATCACCCCGCCCTATTCTCCCGCTTTCCACCACCCTGCCCTATTCTCCCGCTTTCCATCACCCTGCCCCATTCTCCCGCTTTCCATCACCCCGCCCCATTCTCCCGCTTTCCATCACCCCGCCCCATTCTCCCGCTTTCCATCACCCCGCCCCATTTTCAAGCTTTCCATCACCCTGCCCCATTCTCCTACTTTCCATCACCCCGCCCCATTCTCCCGCTTTCCATCACCTCGCCCCATTCTCCCGCTTTTCATCACCCCACCCCATTCTCCCGCTTTCCATCACCCCGGCCCATTCTCCTGTTTTCCATCACCCCGCCCCATTCTCCTGCTTTCCATCACCCAGCCCTATTCTCCCGCTTTCCATCACCCCGCCCCATTCTCCCGCTTTCCATCACCCCGTCCCATTCTCCCTCTTTTCATCACCCCGCCCCATTCTCCCTCTTTCCACCACCCCGCCCCATTCTCCCGATTTCCATCACCCCGGCCCATTCTCCCTATTTCCATCACCCCGCTCCATTCTCCCACTTTCCATCACCCCGCCCCATTCTCCCGCTTTCCGTCACCCCGCCCCATTCTCCCACTTTCCATCACCCCGCCCCATTCTACCTCTTTCCATCACCCCGCCCCAGTCTCCCTCTTTCCATCACCCCGCCCCATTCTCCCTATTTCCATCACCCTGCCCCATGCTCCCTCTTTCCATCACCCCGCCCCATCCTCCCTATTTCCATCACCCCGCCCCATTCTTCCGCTTTCCATCACCCCGCCCCATTCTCCAGCTTACCATCACCCCGCCCCATTCTCCAGCTTTCCATCACCCCGCCCCATTCTCCAGCTTTCCATCAACCCGCCCCATTCTCCCGCTTTCCATCAACCCGCCCAATTCTCCCGCTTTCCATCACCCCGCCCCATTCTCCCGCTTTCCATCACCCCGCCCCATTCTCCCGCTTTCCATCACCCCGCCCCATTCTCCCGCTTTCCATCACCCCGCCCCATTCTCCCACTTTCCATCACCCCGCCCCATTCTCCCGCTTTCCATCACCCCGCCCCATTCTCCCGCTTTCCATCACCCCGCCCCATTCTCCCGCTTTCCATCACCCCGCCCCATTCTCCCACTTTCCATCACCCCGCCCCATTCTCCCGCTTTCCATCACCCCGCCCCATTCTCTTGCTTTCAATCACCCCGCCCCATCCTTCCGCTTTCCATCACCCCGCCCCATTCACCCAGCCCCATTCTCCGTCTTTCCATCAACCCGCCCCATTCTCCCGCTTTTCTTCACCCCGCCCAATTCTCCCTCTTTCCACCACCCCGCCCAATTCTCCCGCTTTCCATCACCCCGCCCCATTCTCCCGCTTTCCATCACCCTGCCCCATTATCCCGCTTTCCATCACCCCGCCCCATTCTCCCGCTTTCCATCACCCCGCCCCATTCTCCCGCTTTCCATCACCCCGCCCCATTTTCAAGCTTTCCATCACCCTGCCCCATTCTCCTGCTTTCCATCACCCCACCCCATCCTCCCGCTTTCCATCACCTCGCCCCATTCTCCCGCTTTTTATCACCCCACCCCATTCTCCCGCTTTCCATCACCCCGGCCCATTCTCCTGTTTTCCATCACCCCGCCCCATTCTCCTGCTTTCCATCACCCAGCCCTATTCTCCCGCTTTCCATCACCCCGCCCCATTCTCCTGCTTTCCATCACCCTGTCCCATTCTCCCTCTTTTCATCACCCCGCCCCATTCTCCCTCTTTCCACCACCCCGCCCCATTCTCCCGCTTTCCATCACCCCGGCCCATTCTACTTATTTCCATCACCCCGCTCCATTCTCCCACTTTCCATCACCCCGCCCCATTCTCCCGCTTTCCGTCACCCCGCCCCATTCTCCCACTTTCCATCACCCCGCCCCATTCTACCTCTTTCCATCACCCCGCCCCAGTCTCCCTCTTTCCATCACCCCGCCCCATTCTCCCTATTTCCATCACCCTGCCCCATGCTCCCTCTTTCCATCACCCCGCCCCATCCTCCCTATTTCCATCACCCCGCCCCATTCTTCCGCTTTCCATCACCCCGCCCCATTCTCCAGCTTACCATCACCCCGCCCCATTCTCCCGCTTTCCATCACCCCGCCCGATTCTCCCGCTTTCCATCAACCCGCCCAATTCTCCCGCTTTCCATCACCCCGCCCCATTCTCCCGCTTTCCATCACCCCGCCCCATTCTCCCGCTTTCCATCACCCTGCCCCATTCTCCCGCTTTCCATCAGCCCGCCCCATTCTCCCGCTTTCCATCACCCCGCCCCATTCTCCCGCTTTCCATCACCCCGCCCCATTCTCCCGCTTTCCATCACCCCGCCCCATTCTCCCGCTTTCCATCACCCCGCCCCATTCTTCCGCTGTCCATCACCCCGCCCCATTCACCCCTCCCCATTCTCCGTCTTTCCATCAACCTGCCCCATTCTCCCGCTTTTCTTCACCCCGCCCCATTCTCCCTCTTTCCATCACCCCACCCCATTCTTCCGCTTTTCATCACCCTGCCCCATTCTCCCTCTTTCCTTCACCCCGCCCCATTCCCCCTCTTTCCATCAGCCCGCCCCATTCTCCCGCTTTTCTTCACCCCGCCCCATTCTCCCTCTTTCCATCACCCCACCCCATTCTTCCGCTTTTCATCACCCTGCCCCATTCTCCCGCTTTCCATCACCCCGCTCCATTCTCCCGCTTTCCATCACCCCGCCCCATTCTCCCGCTTTCCATCACCCCGCCCCATTCTCCCGCTTTCCATCACCCCGCCCCATTCTCCCGCTTTCCATCAACCCGCCCCATTCTCCCGCTTTCCATCACCCCGCCCCATTCTTCCGCTTTCCATCACCCCGCCCCATTCACCCCGCCCCATTCTCCCTCTTTCCATCAACCCGCCCCATTCTCCCGCTTTTCTTCACCCCGCCCCATTCTCCCTCTTTCCATCACCCCACCCCATTCTTCCGCTTTTCATCACCCTGCCCCATTCTCCCTCTTTCCTTCACCCCGCCCCATTCCCCCTCTTTCCATCAGCCCGCCCCATTCTCCCGCTTTTCTTCACCCCGCCCCATTCTTCCGCTTTTCTTCACCCCGCCCCATTCTCCCGCTTTCCATCACCCCGCCCCATTCTCCCGCTTTCCATCACCCCGCCCCATTCTCCCGCTTTCCATCACCCCGCCCCGTTCTCCCGCTTTCCATCACTCCGCCCCATTCTCCCGCTTTCAATCACCTCGCCCTATTCTCAAGCTTTCCATCACCCGGCCCCATTCTCCCGCTTTCCATCACCCCGCCCCAGTCCCCCTCTTTCCATCACCCCGCCCCATTCTCCAGCTTTCCATCACCCCGCCCCATTCTCCCGCTTTCCATCACCCCGCCCCATTCTCCCGCTTTCCATCACCCCGCCCCATTCTCCCGCTTTCCATCACCCCGCCCCTTTCTCCCTCTTTCCATCACCCCGCCCCATTCTCCCGCTTTCCATCACCCCGCCCCATTCTCCCGCTTTCCATCACCGCACCCCATTCTCCCGCTTTCCATCACCCCGCCCCATTCTCCCTCTTTTCATCACCCCGCCCCATTCTCCCTCTTTCCACCACCCCGCCCCATTCTCCCGCTTTCCATCACCCCGGCCCATTCTCCCTATTTCCATCACCCCACTCCATTCTCCCACATTCCATCACCCCGCCCCATTCTCTCGCTTTCCGTCACCCCGCCCCATTCTCCCGCTTTCCATCACCCCGCCCCATTCTCCCTCTTTCCATCACCCCGCCCCAGTCTCCCTCTTTCCATCACCCCGCCCCATTCTCCCTATTTCCATCACCCTGCCCCATGCTCCCTCTTTCCATCACCCCGCCCCATCCTCCCTATTTCCATCACCCCGCCCCATTCTTCCACTTTCCATCACCCCGCCCCATTCTCCCGCTTTCCATCAACCCGCCCAATTCTCCCGCTTTCCATCACCCCGCCCCATCCTCCCGCTTTCCATCACCCCGCCCCATTCTCCCGCTTTCCATCACCCTGCCCCATTCTCCCGCTTTCCATCACCCCGCCCCATTCTCCCGCTTTCCATCACCCCGCCCCAGTCTCCTGCTTTCCATCACCCCGCCCCATTCTCCCGCTTTCCATCACCCCGCCCCATTCTCCCGCTTTCCATCACCCCGCCCCATTCTTCCGCTTTCCATCACCCCGCCCCATTCACCCCGCCCCATTCTCCCTCATTCCATCAACCCGCCCCATTCTCCCGCTTTTCTTCACCCCGCCCCATTCTCCCTCTTTCCATCACCCCGCCCCATTCTTCCGCTTTTCATCACCCTGCCCCATTCTCCCTCTTTCCATCACCCCGCCCCATTCCCCCTCTTTCCATCAGCCCGCCCCATTCTCCCGCTTTTCTTCACCCCGCCCCATTCTTCCGCTTTTCATCACCCTGCCCCATTCTCCCGCTTTCCATCACCCCGCCCCATTCTCCCGCTTTCCATCACCCCGCCCCATTCTCCCTCCTTCCATCACCCTGCCCCATTCTCCCTCTTTCCATCACCCCACCCTATTCTCCCTCTTTCCATCACCCCGCCCCACTATCCCGCTTTCCATCACCCCACCCCTTTCTCCCGCGTTCCATCACCCCGCCCCATTCTCTCGCTTTCCATCACCCCGCCCCATTCTCCCGCTTTCCATCACCCCGCCCTATTCTCCCGCTTTCCACCACCTTGCCCCATTCTCCCGCTTTCCATCACCCTGCTCCATTCTCCCGCTTTCCATCACCCCGCCCCATTCTCCCGCTTTCCATCACCCCGCCCCATTCTCCCGCTTTCCATCACCCCGCCCCATTTTCAAGCTTTCCATCACCCCGCCCCATTCTCCTGCTTTCCATCACCTCGCCCCATTCTCCCGCTTTCCATCACCTCGCCCCATTCTCCCGCTTTTCATCACCCCGCCCCATTCTCCCGCTTTCCATCACCCCGGCCCATTCTCCCGTTTTCCATCACCCCGCTCCATTCTCCCGCTTTCCATCACCCCGCCCTATTCTCCCGCTTTCCATCACCCCGCCCCATTCTCCCGCTTTCCATCACCCCGTCCCATTCTCCCTCTTTTCATCACCCCGCCCCATTCTCCCTCTTTCCACCACCCCCCATTCTCCCGCTTTCCGTCACCCCGCCCCATTCTCCCGCTTTCCATCACCCCGCCCCATTCTCCCTCTTTCCATCACCCCGCCCCAGTCTCCCTCTTTCCATCACCCCGCCCCATTCTCCCTATTTCCATCACCCTGCCCCATGTACCCTCTTTCCATCACCCCGCCCCATCCTCCCTATTTCCATCACCCCGCCCCATTCTTCCGCTTTCCATCACCCCGCCCCATTCTCCAGCTTACCATCACCCCGCCCCATTCTCCCGCTTTCCATCACCCCGCCCCATTCTCCCGCTTTCCATCAACCCGCCCAATTCTCCCGCTTTCCATCACCCCGCCCCATTCTCCCGCTTTCGATCACCCCGCCCCATTCTCCCGCTTTCCATCACCCCGCCCCATTCTCCCTCTTTCCATCACCCCGCCCCAGTCTCCCTCTTTCCATCACCCCGCCCCATTCTCCCTATTTCCATCACCCTGCCCCATGTACCCTCTTTCCATCACCCCGCCCCATCCTCCCTATTTTCATCACCCCGCCCCATTCTTCCGCTTTCCATCACCCCGCCCCATTCTCCAGCTTACCATCACCCCGCCCCATTCTCCCGCTTTCCATCACCCCGCCCCATTCTCCCGCTTTCCATCAACCCGCCCAATTCTCCCGCTTTCCATCACCCCGCCCCATTCTCCCGCTTTCGATCACCCCGCCCCATTCTCCCGCTTTCCATCACCCCGCCCCATTCTCCCTCTTTCCATCACCCCGCCCCAGTCTCCCTCTTTCCATCACCCCGCCCCATTCTCCCTATTTCCATCACCCTGCCCCATGCTCCCTCTTTCCATCACCCCGCCCCATCCTCCCTATTTCCATCACCCCGCCCCATTCTTCCACTTTCCATCACCCCGCCCCATTCTCCAGCTTACCATCACCCCGCCCCATTCTCCCGCTTTCCATCACCCCGCCCCATTCTCCAGCTTTCCATCACCCCGCCCCATTCTCCCGCTTTCCATCAACCCGCCCAATTCTCCCGCTTTCCATCACCCTGCCCCATTCTCCCGCTTTCCATCACCCCGCCCCATTCTCCCGCTTTCCATCACCCCGCCCCATTCTCCCACTTTCCATCACCCCGCCCCATTCTCCCGCTTTCCATCACCCCGCCCCATTCTTCCGCTTTCCATCACCCCGCCCCATTCACCCCGCCCCATTCTCCCTCTTTCCATCAACCCGCCCCATTCTCCCGCTTTTCTTCACCCCGCCCCATTCTCCCTCTTTCCATCACCCCACCCCATTCTTCCGCTTTTCATCACCCTGCCCCATTCTCCCTCTTTCCATCACCCCGCCCCATTCCCCCTCTTTCCATCAGCCCGCCCCATACTCCCGCTTTTCTTCACCCCGCCCCATTCTTCCGCTTTTCATCACCCTGCCCCATTCTCCCGCTTTCCATCACCCCGCCCCATTCTCCCGCTTTCCATCACCCCGCCCCATTCTCCCTCCTTCCATCACCTTGTCCCACTCTCCCTCTTTCCATCACCCCACCCTATTCTCCCTCTTTCCATCACCCCGCCCCACTCTCCCGCTTTCCATCACCCCACCCCTTTCTCCCGCGTTCAATCACCCCGCCCCATTCTCCCGCTTTCCATCACCCCGCCCCATTCTCCCGCTTTGCATCACCCCGCCCTATTCTCCCGCTTTCCACCACCTTGCCCCATTCTCCCCCTTTCCATGACCCTGCCCCATTCTCCCGCTTTCCATCACCCCGCCCCATTCTCCCGCTTTCCATCACCCCGCCCCATTCTCCCGCTTTCCATCACCCCGCCCCATTTTCAAGCTTTCCATCACCCCGCCCCATTCTCCTGCTTTCCATCACCTCGCCCCATTCTCCCGCTTTCCATCACCTCGCCCCATTCTCCCGCTTTTCATCACCCCGCCCCATTCTCCCGCTTTCCATCACCCCGGCCCATTCTCCCGTTTTCCATCACCCCGCCCCATTCTCCCGCTTTCCATCACCCCGCCCTATTCTCCCGCTTTCCATCACCCCGCCCCATTCTCCCGCTTTCCATCACCCCGTCCCATTCTCCCTCTTTTCATCACCCCGCCACATTCTCCCTCTTTCCACCACCCCGCCCCATTCTCCCGCTTTCCGTCACCCCGCCCCATTCTCCCTCTTTCCATCACCCCGCCCCATTCTCCCTCTTTCCATCACCCCGCCCCAGTCTCCCTCTTTCCATCACCCCGCCCCATTCTCCCTCTTTCTATCACCCCGCCCCATTCTCCCGCTTTCCATCACCCCGCCCAATTCTTCCGCTTTCCATCACCCCGCCCCAGTCTCCCTCTTTCCATCACCCTGCCCCATGTACCCTCTTTCCATCACCCCGCCCCATCCTCCCTATTTCCATCACCCCGCCCCATTCTTCCGCTTTCCATCACCCCGCCCCATTCTCCAGCTTACCATCACCCCGCCCCATTCTCCCGCGTTCCATCACCCCGCCCCATTCTCCCGCTTTCCATCATCCCGCCCAATTCTCCCGCTTTCCATCACCCCGCCCCATTCTCCCGCTTTCCATCACCCCGCCCCATTCTCCCGCTTTCCATCACCCCGCCCCATTCTCCCGCTTTCTATCACCCCGCCCCATTCTCCCGCTTTCCATCACCCCGCCCAATTCTTCCGCTTTCCATCACACCGCCCCATTCACCCAGCCCCATTCTCCGTCTTTCCATCAACCCGCCCCATTCTCCCGCTTTTCTTCACCCCGCCCCATTCTCCCTCTTTCCATCACCCCACCCCATTCTTCCGCTTTTCATCACCCTGCCCCATTCTCCCTCTTTCCTTCACCCCGCCCCATTCCCCCTCTTTCCATCAGCCCGCCCCATTCTCCCGCTTTTCTTCACCCCGCCCCATTCTTCCGCTTTTCATCACCCCGCCCCATTCTCCCGCTTTCCATCACCCCGCCCCATTCTCCCGCTTTCCATCACTCCGCCCCATTCTCCCGCTTTCCATCACCCCGCCCTATTCTCAAGCTTTCCATCACCCGGCCCCATTCTCCCGCTTTCCATCACCCCGCCCCATTCTCCCGCTTTCCATCACCCCGCCCCTTTCTCCCTCTTTCCATCACCCCGCCCCATTCTCCTGCTTTCCATCACCCCGCCCCATTCTCCCGCTTTCCATCACCCCGCCCCATTCTCCCTCTTTCCATCACCCCGCCCCATTCTCCCTCTTTCCATCACCCCGCCCTTTTCTCCCTCTTCCCATCACCCCGCCCCATTCTTCCGCTTTCCATTACCCCGCCCCATTCTCCCGCTTTCCATCACCCCACCCCATTCTCCCTCTTTCCATCACCCCGCCCCATTCTCACGCTTTCCATCATCCCGCCCCATTCTCCCGCTTTCCATCACCCCGCTCCTTTCTTCCTCTTTCCATCACCCCGCCCCATTCTCCCGCTTTCCATCTCCGCGCCCCATTCTCCCGCTGTCCATCACCCCGCCCCATTCTCCCGCTTTCCATCACCCCGCCCCATTCTTCCGCTTTCCATCACCCCGCCCCATTCTCCCTCTTTCCATCTCCCCGCCCCATTCTCCCTCTCTCCATCACCCAGCCCCATTCTCCCACTTTCCATCATCCCGCCCCATTCTCCCGCTTTCAATCACCCCGCCCCATTCTTCCGCTTTCCATCACCCCGCCCCATTCTCCCTATTTCCATCAGCCCGCCCCATTCTCCCTCTTTCCATCACCCCGCCCCATTCTCCCGCGTTCCATCACCCCGCCCCATTCTCCCGCTATTTCATCACCGCGCCCCATTCTCCCTCTTTCCATAACCCCGCCCTATTCTCCCTCTTTCCATCACCCCGCAACATTCTCCCTCTTTCCATCACCCCACCCCATTCTCCCGCTTTCCATCACCCCGCCCCATTCTCCCGCTTTCCATCACTCCGCCCCATTCTCCCGCTTTCCATCACCCCGCCCTATTCTCAAGCTTTCCATCACCCGGCCCCATTCTCCCGCTTTCCATCACCCCGCCCCATTCTCCCGCTTTCCATCACCCCGCCCCTTTCTCCCTCTTTCCATCACCCCGCCCCATTCTCCTGCTTTCCATCACCCCGCCCCATTCTCCCGCTTTCCATCACCCCGCCCCATTCTCCCTCTTTCCATCACCCCGCAACATTCTCCCTCTTTCCATCACCCCACCCCATTCTCCCGCTTTCCATCACCCCGCCCCATTCTCCCGCTTTCCATCAACCTGCCTCATTCTCCCGCTTTCCATAACCCCACCCCATTCTCCTGGTTTCCATCACCCCGCCCCATTCTCCCGCTTTCCATCACCCCCCCTATTCTCCCTCTTTCCATCACCCTACCCCATTCTCCGTTTTCCATCACCCAGCCCCATTCTCCTTCTTTCCATCACCCCACCCAATTCTCCCGCTTTCCATCACCCCGCACCATTCTCCCTCTTTCCATCATCCCGCCCCATTCTCCCGCTTTCAATCACCCCGCCCCATTCTTCCGCTTTCCATCACCCCGCCCCATTCTCCCTCTTTCCATCAGCCCGCCCCATTCTCCCTCTTTCCATCACCCCGCCCCATTCTCCCGCGTTCCATCACCCCGCCCCATTCTCCCGCTATTTCATCACCGCGCCCCATTCTCCCTCTTTCCATAACCCCGCCCTATTCTCCCTCTTTCCATCACCCCGCAACATTCTCCCTCTTTCCATCACCCCACCCCATTCTCCCGCTTTCCATCACCCCGCCCCATTCTCCCGCTTTCCATCAACCTGCCTCATTCTCCCGCTTTCCATAACCCCACCCCATTCTCCTGGTTTCCATCACCCCGCCCCATTCTCCCGCTTTCCATCACCCCCCCTATTCTCCCTCTTTCCATCACCCTACCCCATTCTCCGTTTTCCATCACCCAGCCCCATTCTCCTTCTTTCCATCACCCCACCCAATTCTCCCGCTTTCCATCACCCCGTCCCATTCTCCCTCTTTCCATCACCCCGCCCCATTCTCCCGCTTTCCACCACCCCGCTCCATTCTCCCGCTTTCCATCACCCCGCCCAATTCTCCCTCTTTCCATCACCCCTCCCCATTCTCCCTCTTTCCACCACCCCGCCCCATTCTCCCGCTTTCCATCACACCGCCCCATTCTCCCTCCATCCACCACCCCGCCCTATTCTCCCTCTTTCCATCACCCCGCCCCATTCTCCCGCTTTCCATCACCCCGCCCCATTCTCCCGCTTTCCATCACCCCTCCCCATTCTCCCGCATTCCATCACCCCGCCCCATTCTCCCGCTTTCCATCACCCCGCCCCATTCTCCCTTTTTCCATCACCCCACCCTATTCTCCCTCTTTCCATCACCCCGACCCATTCTCTCGCTTTCCATCACCCCGCCCCATTCTTCCGCTTTCCATCATCCCACCCCATTCTCCCGCTTTCCATCACCCCGCTCCATTCTCCCGCTTTCCATCACCCGGCCCAATTCTCCCTCTTTCCATCACCCCTCCCCATTCTCCCTCTTTCCATCACCCCGCCCCATTCTCCCGCTTTCCATCACCCTGCCCCATTCTCCTGCTTTCCATCACCCCCCCCCATTCTCCCGCTTTCCATATCCCCGCCCCATTCTCCTGCTTTCCATCACCCCGCCCCATTCTTCCGCTTTCCATCACCCCGCCCCATTCTCCCTCTTTCCATCAACCCGCCTCATTCTTCCGCTTTTCATCACCCTACCCCATTCTTCCTCTTTCCATCACCCCGCCCCATCCCCCCTCTTTCCATCAGCCTGCCCCATTCTCCTGCTTTCCATCACCCCACCCCATTCTCCGGTTTTCCATCACCGCGCCCCACTCTCCCGCTTTCCATCACCCCGCCCCATTCTCCCGCTATCCATCACCCCGCCCCATTCTCACGCTTTTCATCAGCCCGCCCCATTCTCCCTCTTTCCATCACCCCGCCCCATTCTTCCGCTTTTCATCACCCTACCCCATTCTCCCTCTTTCCATCACCCCGCCTCATTCCCCCTGTTTCCATCAGCCCGACCCATTCTCTCGCTTTCCATCACCCCGCCCCATTCTTCCGCTTTCCATCATCCCACCCCATTCTCCCGCTTTCCATCACCCCGCTCCATTCTCCCGCTTTCCATCACCCCGCCCAATTCTCCCTCTTTCCATCACCCCTCCCCATTCTCCCTCTTTCCATCACCCCGCCCCATTCTCCCGCTTTCCATCACCCTGCCCCATTCTCCCGCTTTCCATCACCCCCCCCCATTCTCCCGCTTTCCATATCCCCGCCCCAATCTCCTGCTTTCCATCACCCCGCCCCATTCTTCCGCTTTCCATCACCCCGCCCCATTCACCCCGCCCCATTCTCCCTCTTTCCATCAACCCGCCCCATTCTTCCGCTTTTCATCACCCTACCCCATTCTCCCTCTTTCCATCACCCCGCCCCATCCCCCCTCTTTCCATCAGCCTGCCCCATTCTCCCGCTTTCCATCACCCCACCCCATTCTCCGGTTTTCCATCACCCCGCCCCACTCTCCCGCTTTCCATCACCCCGCCCCATTCTCCCGCTATCCATCACCCCGCCCCATTCTCACGCTTTTCATCAGCCCGCCCCATTCTCCCTCTTTCCATCACCCCGCCCCATTCTTCCGCTTTTCATCACCCTACCCCATTCTCCCTCTTTCCATCACCCCGCCTCATTCCCCCTCTTTCCATCAGCCCGCCCCATTCTCCCGCTTTTCTTCACCCCGCCCCATTCTTCCGCTTTTCATCACCCTGCCCCATTCTCCCGCTTTCCATCACCCCGCCCCATTCTCCCGCTTTCCATGACCTCGCCCCATTCTCCCGCTTTCCATCACCCCGCCCCATTCTCCCGCTTTCTATCACTCCGCCCCATTCTCCCACTTTCCATCACCCCGCCCCATTCTCAAGCTTTCCATCACCCCGCCCCATTCTCCCGCTTTCCATCACCCCGCCCCATTCTCCCGCTTTCCATCACCCCGCCCCATTCTCCCGCTTTCCATCACCCCGCCCCATTCTCCCGCTTTCCATCACCCCGCCCCATTCTCCCGCTTTCCATCACCCCGCCCCTTTCTCCCTCTTTCCATCACCCCGCCCCATTCTCCCGCTTTCCATCACCCCGCCCCATTCTCCCGCTTTCCATCACCCCACCCCATTCTCCCGTTTTCCATCACCCCGCCCCATTCTCCCCCTTTCCATCACCCCGCCGCATACTCCCTCTTTTCATCACCCCGCCCCATTCTCCCTCTTTCCATCGCCCCGCCCCATTCTTCCGCTTTTCATCACCCCGCCCCATTCTCCTTCTTTCCATCACCCCGCCCCATTCCCCCTCTTTCCATCAGCCTGCCCCATTCTCCCGCTTTCCATCACCCCACCCCATTCTCCCGTTTTCCATCACCCCGCCCCATTCTCCCGCTTTCCATCACCCCGCCCCATTCTCCCGCTATCCATCACCCCGCCCCATTCTCCCGCTTTCCATCACCCCGCCCCATTCCCGCTTTCCATCACCCCGCCCCATTCTCCCGCTTTCTATCACCCCGCCCCATTCTCCCGCTTTCCATCACCCCGCCCCATTCTCCCGTTTTCCATCACCCCGCCCCATTCTCCCCCTTTCCATCACCCCACCCCATTCTCCCTCTTTCCATCACCCCGCCCCAGTCTCCCTCTTTCCATCACCCCGCCCCATTCTCCCTATTTCCATCACCCTGCCCCATGCTCCCTCTTTCCATCACCCCGCCCCATCCTCCCTTTTTCCATCACCCCGCCCCATTCTCCAGCTTACCATCACCCCACCCCATTCTCCAGCTTACCATCACCCCGCCCCATTCTCCAGCTTTCCATCACCCCGCCCCATTCTCCAGCTTTCCATCAACCCGCCCCATTCTCCCGCTTTTCATCAACCCGCCCAATTCTCCCGCTTTCCATCACCCCGCCCCATTCTCCCGCTTTCCATCACCCCGCCCCATTCTCCCGCTTTCCATCACCCCGCCCCATTCTCCCGCTTTCCATCACCCCGCCCCATTCTCCCACTTTCCATCACCCCGCCCCATTCTCCCGCTTTCCATCACCCCGCCCCATTCTCCCGCTTTCCATCACCCCGCCCCATTCTCCCGCTTTCCATCACCCCGCCCCATTCTCCCACTTTCCATCACCCCGCCCCATTCTCCCGCTTTCCATCACCCCGCCCCATTCTCCCGCTTTCAATCACCCCGCCCCATTCTTCCGCTTTCCATCACCCCGCCCCATTCACCCAGCCCCATTCTCCGTCTTTCCATCAACCCGCCCCATTCTCCCGCTTTTCTTCACCCCGTCCCATTCTCCCTCTTTTCATCACCCCGCCCCATTCTCCCTCTTTCCACCACCCCGCCCAATTCTCCAGCTTTCCATCACCCCGCCCCATTCTCCCGCTTTCCATCACCCCGCCCCATTCTCCCGCTTTCCATCACCGCACCCCATTCTCCCGCTTTCCATCACCCCGCCCGATTCTCCCTCTTTTCATCACCCCGCCCCATTCTTCCTCTTTCCACCACCCCGCCCCATTCTCCCGCTTTCCATCACCCCGGCCCATTCTCCCTATTTCCATCACCCCGCTCCATTCTCCCACTTTCCATCACCCCGCCCCATTCTCTCGCTTTCCGTCACTCCGCCCCATTCTCCCGCTTTCCATCACCCCGCCCCATTCTCCCTCTTTCCATCACCCCGCCCCAGTCTCCCTCTTTTCATCACCCCGCCCCATTCTCCCTATTTCCATCACCCTGCCCCATGCTCCCTCTTTCCATCACCCCGCCCCATCCTCCCTATTTCCATCACCCCGCCCCATTCTTCCACTTTCCATCACCCCGCCCCATTCTCCCGCTTTCCATCACCCCGCCCCATTCTCCAGCTTTCCATCACCCCGCCCCATTCTCCCGCTTTCCATCAACCCGCCCAATTCTCCCGCTTTCCATCACCCCGCCCCTTTCTCCCGCTTTCCATCACCCCGCCCCATTCTCCCGCTTTCCATCACCCCGCCCCATTCTCCCGCTTTCCATCACCCCGCCCCATTCTTCCGCTTTCCATCACCCCGCCCCATTCACCCCGCCCCATTCTCCCTCTTTCCATCAACCCGCCCCATTCTCCCGCTTTTCTTCACCCCGCCCCATTCTCCCTCTTTCCATCACCCCACCCCATTCTTCCGCTTTTCATCACCCTGCCCCATTCTCCCTCTTTCCATCACCCCGCCCCATTCCCCCTCTTTCCATCAGCCCGCCCCATTCTCCCGCTTTTCTTCACCCCGCCCCATTCTTCCGCTTTTCATCACCCTGCCCCATTCTCCCGCTTTCCATCACCCCGCCCCATTCTCCCGCTTTCCATCACCCTGCCCCATTCTCCCTCCTTCCATCACCCTGCCCCATTCTCCCTCTTTCCATCACCCCACCCTATTCTCCCTCTTTCCATCACCCCGCCCCACTCTCCCGCTTTCCATCACCCCACCCCTTTCTCCCGCGTTCCATCACCCCGCCCCATTCTCCCGCTTTCCATCACCCCGCCCCATTCTCCCGCTTTCCATCACCCCGCCCTATTCTCCCGCTTTCCACCACCTTGCCCCATTCTCCCGCTTTCCATCACCCTGCCCCATTCTCCCGCTTTCCATCACCCCGCCCCATTCTCCCGCTTTCCATCACCCCGCCCCATTCTCCCGCTTTCCATCACCCCGCCCCATTTTCAAGCTTTCCATCACCCCGCCCCATTCTCCTGCTTTCCATCACCTCGCCCCATTCTCCCGCTTTCCATCACCTCGCCCCATTCTCCGCTTTTCATCACCCCGCCCCATTCTCCCGCTTTCCATCACCCCGGCCCATTCTCCCGTTTTCCATCACCCCGCCCCATTCTCCCGCTTTCCATCACCCCGCCCTATTCTCCCGCTTTCCATCACCCCGCTCCATTCTCCCGCTTTCCATCACCCCGTCCCATTCTCCCTCTTTTCATCACCCCGCCCCATTCTCCCTCTTTCCACCACCCCGCCCCATTCTCCCGCTTTCCATCACCCCGGCCCATTCTCCCTATTTCCATCACCCCGCTCCATTCTCCCACTTTCCATCACCCCGCCCCATTCTCCCGCTTTCCGTCACCCCGCCCCATTCTCCCGCTTTCCATCACCCCGCCCCATTCTCCCTCTTTCCATCACCCCGCCCAAGTCTCCCTCTTTCCATCACCCCGCCCCATTCTCCCTATTTCCATCACCCTGCCCCATGCTCCCTCTTTCCATCACCCCGCCCCATCCTCCCTATGTCCATCACCCCGCCCCATTCTTCCGCTTTCCATCACCCCGCCCCATTCTCCAGCTTACCATCACCCCGCCCCATTCTCCCGCTTTCCATCACCCCGCCCCATTCTCCCGCTTTCCATCAACCCGCCCAATTCTCCCGCTTTCCATCACCCCGCCCCATTCTCCCGCTTTCCATCACCCCGCCCCATTCTCCCGCTTTCCATCACCCCGCCCCATTCTCCTGCTTTCCATCACCCCGCCCCATTCTCCCGCTTTCCATCACCCCGCCCCATTCTTCCGCTTTCCATCACACCGCCCCATTCACCCAGCCCCATTCTCCGTCTTTCCATCAACCCGCCCCATTCTCCCGCTTTTCTTCACCCCGCCCCATTCTCCCACTTTCCATCACCCCACCGCATTCTTCCGCTTTTCATCACCCTGCCCCATTCTCCCTCTTTCCTTCACCCCGTCCCATTCCCCCTCTTTCCATCAGCCCGCCCCATTCTCCCGCTTTTCTTCACCCCGCCCCATTCTTCCGCTTTTCATCACCCCGCCCCATTCTCCCGCTTTCCATCACCCCGCCCCATTCTCCCGCTTTCCATCACTCCGCCCCATTCTCCCGCTTTCCATCACCCCGCCCTATTCTCAAGCTTTCCATCACCCGGCCCCATTCTCCCGCTTTCCATCACCCCGCCCCATTCTCCCGCTTTCCATCACCCCGCCCCTTTCTCCCTCTTTCCATCACCCCGCCCCATTCTCCTGCTTTCCATCACCCCGCCCCATTCTCCCGCTTTCCATCACCCCGCCCCATTCTCCCTCTTTCCATCACCCCGCCCCATTCTCCCTCTTTCCATCACCCCGCCCTATTCTCCCTCTTCCCATCACCCCGCCCCATTCTTCCGCTTTCCATTACCCCGCCCCATTCTCCCGCTTTCCATCACCCCACCCCATTCTCCCTCTTTCCATCACCCCGCCCCATTCTCACGCTTTCCATCATCCCGCCCCATTCTCCCGCTTTCCATCACCCCGCTCCTTTCTTCCTCTTTCCATCACCCCGCCCCATTCTCCCGCTTTCCATCTCCGCGCCCCATTCTCCCGCTGTCCATCACCCCGCCCCATTCTCCCGCTTTCCATCACCCCGCCCCATTCTTCCGCTTTCCATCACCCCGCCCCATTCTCCCTCTTTCCATCTCCCCGCCCCATTCTCCCTCTCTCCATCACCCAGCCCCATTCTCCCACTTTCCATCATCCCGCCCCATTCTCCCGCTTTCAATCACCCCGCCCCACCGTATGTTCAACCCACCGTGTGTTCAACCTATCGTGTGTTCAACCCACCGTGTGTTCCACCCACCGTGTGATCAACCCACCGTGTGTTCAACCCACCATGTGTTCAACCCACCGTGTGTTCAACGCACCGTGTGTTGAACCAACCGTGTGTTCAACCCACCGTGTGTTCAACGCACCGTGTGTTCAACCCTCCGTTTGTTCAACCCACCGTGTGTTCAACGCACCGTGTGTTCAACCCACCGTTTGTTCAACCCACCGTGTGTTCAACGCACCGTGTGTTCAACCCACCGTTTGTTCAACCCACCGTGTGTTCAACCCACCTTGTGTTCAACCCACCGTATGTTCAACGCACCGTGTGTTCAACCCACCGTGTGTTCAACCTACCGTGTGTTCAACCCACCGTGTGTTCAACCCACCGTGTGTTCAAACCACCGTGTGTTCAACCTATCGTGTGTTCAACCCACCGTGTGTTCAACCCACCGTGTGTTCCACCCACCATGTGATCAACCCACCGTGTGTTCAAACCACCTTTTGTTCAACCCACCGTGTGTTCAACCCACTGTGTGATGAGCCCACCATTGTTTAACCCACCGTGTGTTCAACGCACCGTGTGTTGAACCCACCATGTGTTGGTGCAACCCTATGGTTTGCACTCGGCTTGTTGTCCGTGTGCGTGCATGTGTGTGTGTGTATGGAATGGTATGAGGGCATGGGATAATATATATTTCATGCTTATAATTGTGTGTGAATGTTGAGTCATGATGTCGAGTGTATGTGTCGGGTCAATAGCGAGTTATCGCTAGACGCGTGTTACGCGGTCGTTTGTGTCTCGCGCGCGGTTTCTATTTTGTCGTGCGCGGTTTCTATTTTGTCCTGTGTCGAACGTTCGGTGTGTCGCAGGTGTGTGCAGCAGAACCATCAAGAACTCAAGGATGAGTTTGTGATGAAGAGCCCGAGCCTTGGTGTCAAGCCTCAAGTGATTTCAAAGCTCGCCAAAAGGGTACACCTCAAGATATTGAAGATAGTTACATTACTTTGTGTAGTGTAACATTTCACTTGGTGTAGGCCCTAGTGAAGGGTAGTTTCGAGACCCTTCGTGGTTGGGGACAGTGTGGCACTGTTCCACATCACTGTACCTCGGCTCTTGGGGTTTGTAGGAGCTGGGAGTCATTCCCAACTCGTAACTCTTCAGATCTCTTCCTATTTTGTGTTCTAAGACTATAGTGGCTGCCATAGTGCCGTTCGTTCAAACCGACACTGTGTCGTCAATACTTGGTCAAATCGTGCGATCTAAATTGCCTATTGTAGGCGACAATAAGACGCTCCAGATCCAAGTTGAATCAAGTCATTTGAAGCTGTCACCAGAACGCTATGAACGTTTGAAGCCGCTGTGCAGAAATCCGACTGTGCACTCTATCTTTCGTAACACCATGTTTTGAACCCACCGTATGTTCAACCCACCGTGTGTTCAACCCACCATGTGTTCCACCCACCGTGTGTTCAACCTATCGTGTGTTCAACCTACCGTGTGTTCAACTCACCGTGTGTTCAACCCACCGTGTGTTCAACCCACCTTGTGTTCAACCCACTCTGTGTTCAACCTACCATGTGTTCAACCCACCTTGTGTTCAACCCACCGTGTGTTCCACCCACCGTGTGTTCAACGCACCGTGTGTTGAACCCACCGTGTGTTCAACCCGCCCTGTGTTCAACCCACCGTGTGTTCAACCCACCGTGTGTTCAACCTATCGTGTGTTCAACCCACCGTGTGTTCCACCCACCTTCTGATCAACCCACCGTGCGTTCAACCCACCATGTGTTCAACCCACCGTGTGTTCCACCCACCGTCTGTTCAACACACCGTGTGTTGAACCCACCGTGTGTTCAACCCACCGTGTGTTCCACCCACCATGTGTTCCACCCAACGTGTGTTCAACGCACCGTGTGTTCAACCCACCATTTGTTCAACCCACCGTGTCTTCAACCCACCGTGTCTTCAACCCACCGTGTCTTCAACCCACCGTATGTTCAACCCACCGTGTGTTCAACCTATCGTGTGTTCAACCCACCGTGTGTTCCACCGACCGTGTGATCAACCCACCGTGTGTTCAACCCACCATGTGTTCAACCCACCGTGTGTTCAACGCACCGTGTGTTGAACCAACCGTGTGTTCAACCCACCGTGTGTTCAACGCACCGTGTGTTCAACCCTCCGTTTGTTCAACCCACCGTGTGTTCAACGCACCGTGTGTTCAACCCACCGTTTGTTCAACCCACCGTGTGTTCAACGCACCGTGTGTTCAACCCACCGTTTGTTCAACCCACCGTGTGTTCAACCCACCTTGTGTTCAACCCACCGTATGTTCAACGCACCGTGTGTTCAACCCACCGTGTGTTCAACCTACCGTGTGTTCAACCCACCGTGTGTTCAACCCACCGTGTGTTCAAACCACCGTGTGTTCAACCTATCGTGTGTTCAACCCACCGTGTGTTCAACCCACCGTGTGTTCCACCCACCATGTGATCAACCCACCGTGTGTTCAAACCACCTTTTGTTCAACCCACCGTGTGTTCAACCCACTGTGTGATGAGCCCACCGTATGTTTAACCCACCGTGTGTTCAACGCACCGTGTGTTGAACCCACCATGTTTTGAACCCATCGTATGTTCAACCCACCGTGTGTTCAACCCACCATGTGTTCCACCCACCGTGTGTTCAACCTATCGTGTGTTCAACCTACCGTGTGTTCAACCCACCGTGTGTTCAACCCACCGTGTGTTCAACCCACCTTGTGTTCAACCCACCGTGTGTTCAACCTACCATGTGTTCAACCCACCTTGTGTTCAACCCACCGTGTGTTCCACCCACCGTGTGTTCAACGCACCGTGTGTTGAACCCACCGTGTGTTCAACCCGCCGTGTGTTCAACCCACCGTGTGTTCAACCCACCTTGTGTTCAACCTATCGTGTGTTCAACCCACCGTGTGTTCCACCCACCTTCTGATCAACCCACCGTGCGTTCAACCCACCATGTGTTCAACCCACCGTGTGTTCCACCCACCGTCTGTTCAACACACCGTGTGTTGAACCCACCGTGTGTTCCACCCACCGTGTGTTCAACCCACCGTGTGTTCAACCCACCGTTTGTTCAACCCATCGTGTGTTCAACCCACCGTGTGTTCAACCTACCGTGTGTTCAACCCACCTTGTGTTCAACCCACCGTGTGTTCCACCCACCGTGTGTTCAACCTACCGTGTGTTCAACCCACCTTGTGTTCAACCCACCGTATGTTCCACCCACCGTGTGTTCAACCTACCGTGTGTTCAACCCACCTTGTGTTCAACCCACCGTGTGTTCCACCCACCGTGTGTTCAACCCACCGTGTGTTCAACCCACTGTGTGTTCAACCCACTGTGTGATCAGCCCACCGTATGTTCAACCCTCCGTGTGTTCAACCCACCATGTGTTCCACCCACCGTGTGTTCAACGCACCGTGTGTTGAACCAACCATGTTTTGAGCCCACCGTGTGTTCAACTCACCGTGTGTTCAACCCACCATGTGTTCCACCCACCGTGTGTTCATCGCACCGTGAGTTGAACCCACCATGTGTTGAACCCACCGTGTGTTCAACCCACCATGTGTTCCACCCACCGTGTGACCAACCCACCGTGTGCTCAACCCACTGTGTGTTCAACCCACCGTGTGTTCCACCCACCGTGTGTTCAACGCACCGTGTGTTCAACCCACCGTGTGTTCAACCTACCGTGTGTTCAACCCACCGTGTGTTCAACCCACCATGTGTTCAACCTATCGTGTGTGCAATCCATCGTGTGTTCAACCCACCTTGTGTTCAACCCACCGTGTGTTCCACCCACCGTGTGTTCAACGCACCGTGTGTTTAACCCACCGTGTGTTCAACCCACCGTGTGTTCCACCCACCATGTGTTCCACCCAACGTGTGTTCAACTCACCGTGTGTTCAACCCACCTTTTGTTCAACCCACCGTGTCTTCAACCCACCGTGTCTTCAACCCACCGTGTCTTCAACCCACCGTATGTTCAACCCACCGTGTGTTCAACCTATCGTGTGTTCAACCCACCGTGTGTTCCACCCACCGTGTGATCAACCCACCGTGTGTTCAACCCACCATGTGTTCAACCCACCGTGTGTTCAACGCACCGTGTGTTGAACCAACCGTGTGTTCAACCCACCGTGTGTTCAACGCACCGTGTGTTCAACCCACCGTTTGTTCAACCCACCGTGTGTTCAACGCACCGTGTGTTCAACCCACCGTTTGTTCAACCCACCGTGTGTTCAACGCACCGTGTGTTCAACCCACCGTTTGTTCAACCCACCGTGTGTTCAACCCACCTTGTGTTCAACCCACCGTATGTTCAACGCACCGTGTGTTCAACCCACCGTGTGTTCAACCTACCGTGTGTTCAACCCACCGTGTGTTCAACCCACTGTGTGTTCAAACAACCGTGTGTTCAACCTATCGTGTGTTCAACCCACCGTGTGTTCAACCCACCGTGTGTTCCACCCACCATGTGATCAACCCACCGTGTGTTCAAACCACCTTTTGTTCAACCCACCGTGTGTTCAACCCACTGTGTGATGAGCCCACCGTATGTTTAACCCACCGTGTGTTCAACGCACCGTGTGTTGAACCCACCATGTTTTGAACCCACCGTATGTTCAACCCACCGTGTGTTCAACCCACCATGTGTTCCACCCACCGTGTGTTCAACCTATCGTGTGTTCAACCTACCGTGTGTTCAACCCACCGTGTGTTCAACCTACCGTGTGTTCAACCCACCTTGTGTTCAACCCACCGTGTGTTCAACCTACCATGTGTTCAACCCACCTTGTGTTCAACCCACCGTGTGTTCCTGCGGAGATAACTACTACAACGGGAGCTAGACTGCAGGCTAGGCACGTGTGCTCGTGTGATCTCTGCGTTCGTTGGTCCTTAGACGTTTTCCTAGTGCTCATACTACTTGCTAGTTCACGAGGCAATTTGGCAAGAGTTTCACTAAGAAAAGATCACAACAATGGTACAATGAAGTTGGCAATGCAAGACTACATCAGAGCTAGCATTCAGGTTGGTCAACTGCCAGCACAGCATGGTCGACCGCGTTCCAACACGACTTGGTCGACCGCGCTCCAGCAGTGCAAAGTCGACAGCTTGCCAACGCTGCAGGTCGACAGTGTGCCAGCAGTGCACCCGCTCTGCAGGTGTGTGCAGATGATTGGTATACCGAGCCTCATCATCTGCACAGCACACACACCACGTCAGCCTCGGGCTGACGGCTGCCTCTGATCTGCCACGACGACCTCGGGATACCATAACCGAGGTCGGTCTCGCCAACTTCGCCTGGGCGACCGTCGCACTCCTCCGCAGCACTTCGTCACCCAGGTAACCTGGTCGACCGGGCAACCTCATCAACCAGCGACTCCCGTACGTGTTCGTCGACCACCCAAGTCGACGATCACCTTGATGTCGACTTCACCAGGTCGACCACGCCCCTTGGTCGACGACCATGTTGCTCGACGCCAGACTGCTCGACGCCCGGCTGTTCGA